TTGATGGCCTTTTCTGGTGCCAATGATTTTTTTTTCAGTGACTTTTTTTGGCTTGTTTTTATCACCAAACAAGATTTTTCCTTGAGTTTTTAATACCTTATACACTCTTTAGGATGGATTTTTCCAAATTTAATGGTAAAAAATAATCATCACCCTATTCTAATCTCAATTTAAAAGAACTTGAGAAGCATGTGGGGCACACCCTGAAAAGGTTAATATTATCGGATTAATCTAATTTTTTTCATAGATGATATACATAGACACAGAACATCTTACAAAATAAATTTTTCGGATTATCGAAACGAGACCCGTAGTGAACTCCACATGCCCCACAAATTCTCTCAAATATTTAAATTTGAGGGAAGTCTAACTCATATAATTATCTCTTATAATTATGTCTTATTAGTCCAAACTTGAATCCTACGGTACTACCAATTTAATTGTGCAAGAAAATCATAATCATTATCCTATACTACATGGATTCCAGTATCTAGTGTAGATGCATGTCCGAGCATCACACTTTTATAAATCTAAATCTTAAAATATTAGAATATGTATAAAGTTGGATATAGACATAAATACTTATATATTACATATTATGTTATATAAATTACTTGAAGTTCAATAAGATTTTTAAAATTATATATATATATATATATATATGAAATTTCTATCTCTTATCCATGTGAGAAGATTAAAATATTTTTTAATAGCAAACAAAAGTTTCCCTTTTTTCAATTATCATAAAAAAATTAAATAATATAAGTGTCTAAATTGACTTTGGATGTCAGATACAAATCCACACCCTCATATTTACAGAAATTTCAAAAAATGGAAGAGTCTGTGTGTAATAGAATTATTGTCAGACATAGTCAAGTATCGTTTGTATTATCTTTGAATTGTTAATCACCAAATTTATCTAATACCATCTTATATTGTAAATCATTAACATAGAGAGAAAATATATTTACCATTTATATTATCAACAATAACATGTAATTCAACATTGCCACTTGGAGCAAGTAGGACTTGAGCATTAGCTTGACCTAAAGTTTTAATTTTTATTTTGGGCTTCAATTGAACTTGAAATGGATGAGTTTGGTCAAAGTTTTTTTTGGACAGAATTTGAACTGATGATAACCATGATGTCTGTTCATGAATTGCCAGATGGAATTTGAACATGTTCCATGGAGTCAAAGACTTGAAACCTTTGTTTACTTTTATTTTAATATAATTATGTTATAATAAATAAATAAATAAATAACCCTTGAAACCTACGAACATATTTGGTATGTGGGTGATTTTCTGACCACACTGCCCGCCTAGTAATCAGCTGGAGAGCACCGGCAGAATAGATGGCTTCAGCAAACCTATAACAGAAAGAAAGGGCTCCGGTGGTGGCTCTTCCACCCGGGGGCACTCCGACGATCAAGTCAGTATATCTCTCAAAGATAATCAAGTGCTAAACTCACAAGCTTGGGTATAAAGCTGCGTACCTTAGACCCACGGGGGTGCCTCTCTTTTATAGTTTACTCAATCCAAGTCCTACTAGAAGCCTGACTTCTATGGACTCCAATTCAATGTCAACTTTGGACTCTTCAAGAGATAAAGATAAACTCCCTAAGAGCTTTATCCTTATCTCAGCAAAGTCTTCTCTTTACTCTAGGACTCTTGTCCCTTATCTGCTTATCTCGGATTCCGATATCTTCAGAGATCACCTCGGCCTTGCCTAGGTAACCTCGGCATAACTACCAGGACACGTGGCACCTCGGCTGACACGTCGGCGTCACCATGCCACGTGTTGGTATTCAGAAAATACATCCCCACAACTGCCCCCTAAGTTCTATTACCTCAGCATTCTGAGGTGATGGAACCTATATCTGTATTTTCTTCCAGTACCTTGGCGTGAGAACTCTTCGGCCGAGATTATTCATTTTAGGCTGACATGCCTTCATCAAAGAACAAGAACTCAAACGAACTCCTCCACGCGCATGAGCTGTCATGCACCTTTTCTCAACCGTTCCCCTCACGTGCTTTATCCTTATTGGCCCGTGTCTGTGACGCGCCTGAAAACTGTATTTCACCCATCTACGCCGTCTGACGTGTGCGTTGCTCCAGGCGTAATAAATGCCCTGCTTTTTGCCGCCGTTTCAAGTTTTTTACAAAACTTTTCTCTCTATCTTCATTTCTTTACTTTTGCATTCGATTTTCTGGCTCTCTCTCTCTCTCTAAACTTTCTCAAACCCGCCATTGCTCTTGCTCCAAGCTCTGCAACTGCCTTCATTCTTACATTCCAGCGAAGCTTTCGTCGCTCCGTCTTGTCTGCAACCATTGCCTTATCTCGGCAACTTTTATTCTGGTTTCATTTGTTCTGGTAAGCCTCTGTTCCTCTTATTCCCAATTTATTTTATGTGCTTTCGTTTACTTATTGCCATTATTGTGCTGTTCAAACCTTTAATTTGCTGAACTATTCATCTGGATGTGTCTTTTCCATGATTTTACTCATATCTTGAACACTTGCACTGTTTTAATACTTTTCTTGCCACTGTTCTTGACCTTTTACTTCTGTATTTTTTTCGCTTTTGAGAACCACACCTCTGTTCTTCGTTTCTGAAACGTCATTCTTTGTTTCTTGCTTTCTGTTTTTCCTTTCCAGATCTGTGCCTTTGATCTTTATTTTCATAGCTCTTAGGCTTGGGATTTGTTTGTAGAACCTTTAATTTAGGGAAAACTGAAACAATCCTTACCAGCATATACCTAGGGTTTTGCCGAGGTCCGGATAACCCCTTAAGAACACCTTTCTTTCTGAAACCTAGCCCTTTGTTTTTAGGCCGACGTTATGGGTATGTGGAGACATAGGGTAGATACCCCAACCAAACTTGAGTACTTTAGGCGGGAGTTCTCTATTCTCACCGATGTCCATCTGAGGCTAGCTGAAGATAGTGACTCTATCATGCCCACAGATGATTCAATGCCCTTTCCTATAGTAGTTTTTACTGAGTGCGGACTGTAACAACCCTCATACTGTTTACTGATTAATGACCGATTGATCACCGATTACTGTTAAACGAGACGGATAATGACTGATAACTGACTGAAATTTCCCCCTTTTTGTACTGTTTCACTGTTTTGTATAGACTGACTGTTTACTGTACTGTTATACAGGGATTAGGTCCTTGTACTGTGCGACTGTTAATTTTGTATACTGTGTTGTACAGACGGAATGTTTTCTGTACTGTTGTGTGGGGTTGAGTCCCTAGTCAAATGGATGTGAATATTGTGTATACTGTTCTGTAATGTTTTTGTATAATGTATGAAAAGCCTTTTTGCATACAGACTGTCACAGCTCAATGGACACTATATACTTACTGTATTGGCTTCCGCCAGGCCCTGTACTCTGTTTCACTGCACTACTGTTCTGCAGGCCTTCGGTAATCTCAGATTACTGGCCGGTTACGGTGCTAAACCCATAGGGCCGGGTTTGGGTCGTGACACGGACTCCGGCTCCCACTTAACATTCTTTTTCGCAAAATTCTTCATTTTTACAAGTTGAACCCTATGCAACTTGCTATAAACTCTTATCGAGTGATCAATGGTATCATAACCCTAGCTAGGCAGGAGAATGTTAGGATCGCCCTTGCCGATGTACAATATTGTTATACCATGTGCCCTCTTAACCTGAAGGAAAAATGTTACGTCTACTACCTCAAGCCGAGGTCTACTGAATTCAAAATTGTAGCCGACCTCCCGGACTCCAACAAGGGAGCCGGGGATGACTTTGTCATTGCTTCGGGAAATTGGGAATTTGGTCCAGACGAAGATGTTCACCTCTACCCTCTTCCTTGAACAGTTAAAGAGGGCAAGGGTAAGAGCCCAGCGCCAATACTTAGTTATTTCTTTTCCTAGTCTTCAAAACTTTCTATTTCTAATGTCTTGTTTGTTTGTCTTGCAGATCTTCATCAGCCACCAAAAAACTTCCGTCAATCCTTCTTCCCAGGAAAAGATTTAAAGAAGCTCATAGATCTTCCAATCCACAAGCGCAAGGCTCCCCTGTTACTGAATTTTATTCTGACATACAAATCCACATTGCCCGACGTCCCAAAAAGAAAGAAGAAGAGCCTATCTCCTCCCTCTGCTACCACTCCACAAACAGCATCAACATCTCGGGTTGACCAAGGGTCAACCTCTGACCCAGCCGACCAACCATCAACTTCAGCCCCATACCTAATCCCAATACCAGAAAGAAAACGTCGGTGAAGACTCGTAAAAACTGCTGAGATGGGTCGCCCGAAGCCTGTTGCCCAAGATCTCCTAACCGACCTTCCCATGGATGTTGACGCTCAACCGCCGCAAACCATGCCCCCACCAAAGCTGAAGAGAAAAAAGGCTCAGCCCAAGGCCAAAACTACTGAGGTTGAGGCTGAGGACGCTCTGCCCATCTCACACTTGGCTGAGAGTAAAAGAACTGTTTCTACTTCTGCAAAAAGGTCTGCTGAGGCCCAGCCATCGGAATCCACCCGATCAAAGAAACCGAGGTCATTGTCTGCGACGACCTCGATTTCCAAAGTACCAAAAGTCCTTTGGAGACCAAAAATTACTCTGGAAGATAAGCCAGTCCTAGCCAGCGACAGTGCCGATGACATAAACGTCGACGTGGCCCTAAGTACTGCTCTACTCCTCCCAGGCGATCTTGAGCGAAACGCCAAGATGAGTGAGTATGAGAATTACGCCTTTATGCTGCAACACTCTGTCCAAGTAAGTGCCTTTGTGTTGAAATTTGTTTTCTCTCTTAATTTGTAAAGGTTTGTAACAATTTGTGCCTTGTGTTCTTTCAGGCCATCCAACATGCCCACTCCTTCTCCATGCAAGCTTTCGAAACAAGGGAGAAGTTGGCCGACATGAAGAGAGAGGTTTCTGTCCTTAAAAAGGAGAACAAAGCTGTTCTGATAAAGATGAAGAAGCTGGAAGATTAGGCCGAGGCTGCCACTAAGGCCCAACAGATGGCCGAAGAAAAAGCAGAGTCTGCTGAAGCCATCAAAAAAGTTGCCGAGGCCGAGAAGAGAGATGCCGAGGTAAAAAAGGCTCAAGCCGAAAAAGAGCTTGAGGAGGCCCTAGCCACTAAAAACGCCGAAATTACTGAAGCCGAAGAAAAAGCTTACGCCCAAGGAATGACCGATGTTGCTGAGGACTACAAACTGCAAGTTAGGCAGGCATGCAACAGGGGTTTTTCCCTTGGTTGGATGTCCCTGGCCAAAAAGATAAATGTTCCTGAAGATTCTCCTCTGCACAAGGCTGAAGCTATTCCTCTCACATTCCCTCCTCCTGCTCCACCTTCAAGTCAAGCTGAAGACGAGTCAGAATCTGAGGCTGAGGATGAAGATAATAATGAAGATGAGGCCTTGGTGAGGAAATCCAAGGATGCTACTGAGGCCAAGTCCCTTCCTCCAACTGAGCAAGTCATGGACTTAACCTTGGATGAAGAGGGTGATGAGGTTGGGGAGGCGCCTAGGGAAGCTGTTACAGGGCAATTATCATCCGACCTTCTCTTAGCTGAAAGAAGTCTTGACAAAATGCTTGCAGAGATTGATGCCGAACTGGCTGCAGAGAAGGTTGCCGAAGTAGTTCCCCAGGAATCTGCCGAGGTCCAGACCCAAATCGCTCCTGAAACTAAAGAATCATAACTTGGATGTCTTCCGTACTCTTTTTGTTTCTTTGGATAATATAAGCTTTTCTGTACTTCTGGTTTTTGAAACAATGTAAGCTCTTCTAGTTAGCTGATGTATCTTCTGCTTCTGTTGGATATAACTTTATTTCTGGTAGACCGTAGTGCCTTCTTTGTATACAACTGCAACTGTTTTCGTCTAAACGCTTTAATCTTTAATTTCTCTTGATTGCGTCTGTATGATTCTATACTTGGAATATTTTGCATGCCTTTTCATTTTGCCTCCTGTGTGCAATCTTCTCGGGGTTACGTACCTCGGGTACAATAACGTTTTATTTCGGCAAGATACAGACCTGCAAACTCTTCATAAATTCCGACAAGTGTTTAACATATACTATTCAATGTGCAAGCTTCTTCTCAAGTTTCAACAAGTATTTAAACAGTGATCTCGGTCTAACCTACTTGTAAATTGCTACAAATTTCAACAAGTGTTGAGAAACAGTAATCTCGGCTTAACTCCAACTTGTAAATTGCTACAAATTTCAACAAGTGAAGATAAGGAATCAGCTTAATTCCAACTTGTAAATTGTTATAAATTTCAACAAATGAATTAAGTGTCTTTGTCTTCTCTTTGCCCCCAATGTGAACCTGAGTTCTACTTGGGTTCTCATTATTCATGTCTCCAAAAACACCAATATGTAACTTTATCAGATATATGTGTTTTAAGAAAAGGGAAAAGATTTTATTGATGACATCGGCCAAAAATACTGCACATCTAATGATAGAAGAATTTCAAATTACAAGTGTTCCAAGGTCTTGGCAGTGCTTTGCCATCGTTATCTTCAAGCCGATAAGCTCCATTGCCTAATACTGAAGTAATTCTATAGGGTCCTTCCCAGTTTGGGCCAAGCTTGCCCTCTCTAGGATCCTTTTTGTTGCCAACGACTTTTCTTAGGACTAGGTCGCCGACCTGAAAATCTCTTTGATTGACCTTCTTGTTGTAAGCTCTAGCAAGCTGTTGCTGGTATACTGCTAGCTAAATTGCAGCTTTTTCTCTTCGTTCTTCCAGAATATCCAGATCTCGGCTAAGAGTATGTTATTGGTGTCATTCTCTACTCCCTAGGTCTTGATCCCTGGGATGCCGATCTCTAATGGGATGACTGCTTTTGTGCCATAAGCCATGGCAAAGGGGGATTCCCCTGTTGATCTTCTCGGCGTAGTCCGATATGCCCAAAGCACGTTGGGCAATTCGTCTACCCACTTTCCTTTTGCTGCATGCAGCCTCTTCTTTATTCCATTCAAAATTACTTTGTTGGATGCTTCTGCTTGCCCATTACTTTGGGGAAAACTTGGTGTTGAAAAGTAATTTTTGATCTTAAATTTCGCACAAAAGTTCTTGATGAGTTTACTGTCAAACTGTGATTCGTTGTCGGCAACTATTGCTTTTGGAATCCCAAATCTGGTGATGATGTTTCTCCATATAAAGTTCTTGACGTCCATATCTCGGATTTTGGCAAGAGGTTCTGCCTCTATCCACTTCGTAAAGTAATCTGTTGCCACCAACAGGTATTTTCTCTGCCCAGTTGCCTGGGGAAGTTGCCCGACAAGATCCATGCCCCATTGGGCAAACGGCCAAGGGATGGATACTAGGTTCAGGTTAGCAGCTGGCTGATATATTAAAGGTGCAAACCTTTGGCATTGTTCACACTTCTTCACGTAGGCTTCAGCATCCTTTTGCATGTAGGGCCACCAATACCCCTGGGTATTGGCCCTGTGGGCTAATGATCTACCCCCAGCGTGGCTTCCACAAATTCCTTCATGAATTTCATATAGGAAATCTTTAACCTGCAAAGGGTTCAGGCTGAATCTTGCCGATTTCAATCTGATCTTGTGTGCCTCCTTATGGTCTTTTGGCAGCTTTCCCTCTTTCAGGAATGCAACAATTGCATCCATCCAGCTTGGTCCCAAGTCTACACACATTGCTTCTTGCTCTGTGATCGGCTGTTCTATGCTCGGGCTTGGCAGATAGTCAATCATTATTGTTCTTGTTTTTCCAGTTTGCATTGAGCTTGCCAAGTTTGCCAACGCGTCGGCGTGGTTGTTATCATCTCGGCTGACTTGAAGAAGTCGGCAGTTGCGAAATAAGGATGCCAGCCTGATGACTTCCTTAGCGTATGCCGACATTCTCTCATCTGGGGTTGCAAACTCTCCTGTTGTTTGGTTAACAATAAGTTGTGAATCACAAAAAACTATTACCTCATCTGCTTCTGCTGCTGTTGCCAGTTTTAACCCTGCAATTAATGCTTCGTATTCCGCTTCATTGTTTGAGGCCTTGAACCCCAAATGGATGGATTGTTCTATTATTTCTCCATCTGGAGATATCAGCAGTACTCCTGCCCCCGCTCCTTGTCGATTCGAACTTCCATCGACGAATAGTCTGAATGAATCGCCGATGTAGATGCTGAAGGGTCTGAGTTTTTCCTTTCTTTGATCTTTTGCCCTAGGCTGGGATTCTTTTTGCTTGTTGGGACAATGCTCATCCTGGCTGAACGGAGCCTGATATTCGATGGTTTCGGGTGTGAATTCTGCCACGAAATCGGCCAAAACTTGGCCTTTAATTGCTGTTCTAGGCCTGAACTCCAAGTCATACTGGCCCAGGGCTACTGCCCATCTTGCTATCCTTCTTGTTAAGTCTCCTTGTTACAACAAGGACTTCAGTGGGTGCTCTGTTAGGACCACAATTTTGTGCGCCTGAAAGTAATGGTTCAACTTCTTTGAAGCCATTACTAAGGCTAGCATTAATTTCTCTAGTGGTAAATACCTTGTTTCTGCATCGGCCAAGGTTTTACTAACATAATAAACAGCCTTTTGCTTCCCTTTTTCTTCTCGGATTAGTACTGCACTTACTGCGTGTTCTGAAACTGCCAAGTACAAAAACAGTTCTTCCCCTGGTTCTGGGTTGGAAAGAACCGAAGTTGTGGTCAAGTATTTCTTTAGGTCGGTCAAAGCGGCTTCGCATTCTTCTGTCCACAGAAAGTCTGTGGCTTTTTTTACTAGGTTGAAGAAGGGTCTGCATTTATCTGAGCTTCTGCTGATGAATCTGTTTAGGGCTGCGGCCCTTCCAGTGAGCATCTGAACCTGTTTTGCCAACGTCGGGCTCTGTAGCTCAAGGATGGCCTTGATTTGGTCTGGGCTGGCCTCAATGCCCTTTCTCGTTACCAGATACCCTAAAAACTTACCTGATCCAACTCCAAACGCGCACTTTGATGCGTTGAGTCGGAGCCGGTATGTTTTGAGTATATCAAAGACTTCTTTTAGGTCGACAAGATGACCCTTAGATTCCTTGGTCTTCACGACCATGTCATCGATGTAGACTTCTACCGTTTTGCCAATCAGGTGCTTGAACATCTTTGTCACTAACCTTTGGTAAGTTGCTCCTGCGTTTTTCAACCCAAAAGGCATTACCTTGTAACAGTACAAGCCTTTAGGGGTGATGAACGCGGTCTTCTCCTCGTCTGGAGGGTACATGGCAATCTGGTGGTACCCTCTATATGCATCCAAGAAACTCATCCTTTCGTGCCCTGAAGTTGCATCTACTAGTTGGTCAATCTTGGGCAGAGGAAAGCTGTCTTTGGGGCAGGCTTTGTTGAGGCTGGTAAAGTCTACACAGGCCCTCCATTTCCCGTTCTTCTTTTTCACTACTACTGTGTTGGACAGCCATGTCGGGTAGTGAACTTCTCGGATGGCTCTGGCCTCCAGAAGTTTGTCTACTTCTTCTTCTACTGCTTCGACGTGCATCAACATCGGTCTTCTGGCTTGTTGAATCACAGGTTTTGCCGACCTGTCGACATTCAGTCTGTGGCAAGTGACCTCGGGGTCAATTCCAGGCATCTCGTAAGGTGTCCAGGCGAACACCTCAATGTTGGCTCTCAAAAAATCTTCCAGTTCTCTTCCTCTTCTTCGGCTAAGCCTGAACCGAGAAGAAAGAAGCGTTTTTCGTCGCCCTCCTGGACAAGGATTTTCTTTTGTGTCTCTTCACTTTTTTCGGTTGGCTCCTTGCCGACATCTTCTAGGACCTCCATGTCCTCGTCTTCAATCTCTGCCTCTTTTGGCTTTTGAATGCTGCAAGTAGTTTTCATTGCTGCCATGGAGTAAGTTTTTGCCTACAGTTGATCTCCTCTGACTTCTTCAATCCCATGTTCTATGGGAAACCGTAGTAGTTGATGCAATGTTGAGGGAACTGCCCCCATTGCATGCAACCATGGTCTTCCTAAGATGATGTTATATGGCGAAGGTGTATCAATCACCATAAATTCTGTCTTGATCTTCTTAGTACCAGCTTGTACTTCCACGCTTGCTGCGCCCAATGGCCACGTCGGCGTTCCATTGAAGCCGACCATAGGGTTGCTGGATTGTTCCAGGTCGTCAGGGTGAAGGCCCAGCTCCTTGTAACATCTGATGTACATGATGTCACAAGAGCTGCCTTGATCTATCAGGATGCGTTTCACTTGGCATTCCCCAACTTGGAGGGATACTACCAAGGCATCATTATGCGGATGTTGGACCAACTCCAGGTCGGCTTCAGTAAAAGTTATCATCGGTCCTTGGCATTCTTCAGGCCGAGGTCTTTTGTATCTAACCTGGTTTACATGCTGCAGGTGTTTTACTCTTTGGGTTTCTCCCCGAATGTCGCTTTCGTTCACCTTTGAGTGGATTACATTAACCACCCGTGGTCCTCCTACCTGTGGTTGCTGTGCTGGGGGAAGCGATGCTGCTGGTGCTTGAGGCAATCTTGCCTGTTCTTCTCTTGTCCTGGCCTCATCAACAAGGTCCCTCAGATGGCCTTGCCTTACTAGGTCTTCTAAGTGTGCTTTTAAGGCTCTGCAACCCTGAGTTGGGTGTCCTTCTTCATTATGGTAAGTACAGCGTCTACCAACATTTCTTCCCATAAATTCCCCTGGTGCTCTTGCCGGTGCCCTGAAATAGGGTTGACTTCGTATTTTGTTCATGACTTTATGG